GCAAATTGAAGTAATTCCTACAGAAAGAACCTTTATGAAGGAATGCTCCAAAAGTTGTCATCTAAAAAAAAAAAGGGGGGGGTTATACACTTATTCTCTATTTTAATGTATTTAAAACTCAAATTTAGGCTGTTTACAAGACACGTGTGGAGGGTGTGAAGTTTAATGAAATATTTTACCTTTTAGAACAATTAAGACACTGGAACACTACACACACACACACACACACACACACACACACACACACACACACACACACACACACACACACACACACACACACACACACACACACACACACACACACACCTCTCTAAATGGCTCTACACTATATATATGGCTGTATAGTAAACAATTTGCGTGGAAACTACATTACCAGATGTGTTAATTGCTCCTGATATCAGTACATTTTATGCGCTTGTGTATGCGCAAAAGCTGAACTGCATTTTGCAAAGCTGAATTTTGGAGGGCTAATTTTTTAGGAAATGGAGAGTGTGGCATGTAAATACAGTACTTGTTTTGCTTGTGATTTAAATGAAAAGCTGAAAGCAGGCTTTTATTATAACAGTGACTAGAGGAGTTACAAAAACTTTTGTGCTTACTAAATTTGAAGGGCCAGATTTTGGCTTATGCTCCAGGGTAGATGGAGGTTGAAAAGGGGTTTCAAAAGCCTGGAAAAAATATCTGGGGCAGATGCAGACACAATCTAGGACCATCATCTGCAGCTCCATGCTACTGCCTCCTTTGAGGAATGAGGAGGCATATCAGAAGGATATGCAGGGAGATGCCCCTAGGACAGAGCCTATGGATTAAGAAACGACACATGCCCAAACCTTGATCAATGTGTTGATATAATACAATCCACACAAAATCGACAGCTATTTTCTTATATGAACACATCTCTTTGCCCATGCTTTTATTTGATACTCATCACTTATGATTTGTGTGAGTAGCTACATAGGTTGTGTACTGCTGGAGAAACTCTCACACATAAAAAGTGTTAATCTCTTGCATGGCTGCCCTAATTTTATTAATTGTAAATTCCATTTAAAGCCTCTGGACAAAACTTTTAGGTAAGAAAATAAGTCTGTTCTTTGAAAAGATTAAGGCTGAGAGCACTGCGTTGCAGTAGCTTAGATTTGTTCAGGTTTTCACTATTTTTGCTGCTCACTACTCGTTGGAGTCACAGCAGCTTCAGGCTGTTTCATAGATTCACAGACTTAAGGCCAGAGGGGACCTCAGAAGATCATCAGGTCCAGCCCCCAGCACCAAGCAGGAAAGATAACTGGGGGTCAGGTGACCCCAGCGAGGTGACTGTCTAGTCTACAGCTTTAAGCTCAGTGTGAGTTGTTGTCCTGCCTTCAGCCCAAAATTATTCAAGAGTGCTGAATGGCCAAAATGGACATGTCACTGGCAAAACTAAGGCAGGGTTAGAAGTCTAGGGCCAGTATTGGCCCTTCCCTTGTCCCTGTTGCATTGCTCCAGCAGTGCAAAGAGCATGAAAAGTTTTGTTTTTTTTAAATCTGAGGATTCCAAAGTGCCAAAGGTGTTTTGCAGCTGCTTCTCTGCTACTCAGGTCTGGTTCCCAAATGAGGACATGCCAAGCTGGAATCAGTTATGGCTGAAGTGGTTGGTAAAATGGCTCTTCCAGTTGATCCAAGTTCAACATGCATCAGAGTCTAAAGCAGATCGTGTTTCCCCAGTTAAGATTGATTTGGGGACTTCCCCTAAGGCAGGGATTCAATCTTTTTACAAATCTCTATCCAGTTCCTCAATATTGCAGCACATAGTGTTTGAGAGAAGAATGATTTTATCCAAAACTCTGCTTGTAGTGTCACAGAAAAATGATGTGGTTATGATAAATGCATTGAAACAGCTGTGGTCTCACATTAGATAAAACTGCATTTAAAGAATTCCTCATTTCCCTCACCCTCATAGTGTTACTCATGGCAGTATTAACTGTTACTGGTTTTGTGCCTTAATTAGGCATTTCTATGCCTGAATGTGTTTGGATTCCTATTGAGTATTAAATTTAACCCTGAATTTTTACGGTTGTTATGTTTGTTTTTAAGATATCTGCACTATATCTATGTTTAGAATATCATTGCAATGTGTTTTACCCTTTAAGTTGTTGATATTGCCTGGAGTACTTATCTTTACTTCAATTTTGTACACCCTAGTTTCTCTCACAGAATACATCCCCAAATAAAACAGAGACCTTGATTTGGGAAGGCAGGATGAAGAAAAAAGGATGTTTCCAACATCATGGATGAATGCTCGCTGCAGGGGATCCTGATTGCAGCAGCTGTGGCTGTGAGAAGTTAATACTGGAGCTGTGACCCTGAAGGGTGAACACCACTACCTCTCCCTGAGGCTGGCTGAGGAAGATGCATGGCAGCCGTCTTACAGCATTGCCATGCCTCTCTTCCATTCCAGGGCAGAAAATCAAGTTCCCCACTTGAAAAACACCCCCAGATTTTGGAAGGCTGACTTTTGGGGAAAGGGTAAGTGTGGTATGCATGTAAATACAGTATTTGCTTTGCCTGCAATTTAAATGAAATACACCTATAATAATATCTGCTACCAGTTTAGCCTTAAATGAACTCTTCTTAGAACTTGCTTAGCAGCATCACTTGTGCATTGTGGAAAGCAAAACACCAAACTCATCACAGTCAATATGGAGAGCATTGGCCATAAGCAAGCATAGGCAAAGTCTGAGGCATAGGCGACTGGTGGTGCACGTGCTCCTCCTGATGAGGCCGGTGCCCCCCCATGGCTGACACTGATGCTGCTGGTAGGGCTGGTGCCCCCCTGATAGGGCCACTGCCATTGGCAGCTTCTGCGGGTGCCCCCCAGATTCGGGAGGCACCAGTCACTCATGGTCTGAGACACATTAATAAAGCAACACATTGCAAATATGCATATGTCATATTGGGTGCACCTACACAAGATGTTTTACTGTATAGCAGACTAATTTGCTACACAGTAAACCGCCACTGTCTACATATGCACAGCAATTAGGGGGCAGCAGGGTAATTTACTGCACTGCTGGATAGTCCCACCAGATACAACTGGTATCTGGCAGCGCAGTAAATTACTGCGCTTAAACACATATGTAGACAGTGATGTCAAGATTAGTTTACTCCAGCTCAAATTGAGTTGGCGTATATTCAGTCACATTAATTGCACATGTAGACACACCCATTTTATTTACCTACTACTACTCTTTAGAGCACATTTTATTTTCCTAAGTACTTCTGGACTGAACTGCAAATACGGCTTGCTGGAGACCTAAGATTCTGTCCAGGGAACACAAAAATAATCCTCCATTTAGGGTCCAGCTGTCCACAAAAGAAAATAAAACAAAATAAACCAACCCTGTAGAGCCAGCAGATACTTCCTTATTATATTCAGCTCAAATAGGTAGGCATTTACCAACATAAAAATAATTTACTGTATAATATGCAGCTTATCTTGTAAACAGCCCAAATACTACTTGATCTAGTATTAATAGGTTGCACTGTGAAAAGAACACACACAAATATGAATAAGGCTGAGAAAAGAGTTTTTGTTAAGCTTAATAATCAACCCGGATATGCAAAGTTTATGTACAGATTCTTACTGCACCAGCACTTGTTGAGGGTTACCCAACAAGTGGCCAATGTACAATGCATGAGGTTTTCAAGTAGCATCGAAGGGTATTAAATGTATATAACAATGATAAAGTATTTTATATATTCTTAATTATTTTTTCATTTTCCTTCGTCTCTAATGAGACCAGATAAATTTAGATCCCTAGTTACCATGCTGCTTTGCCAGAGTGTGCCTCATGCATCTAAATGTCAAAAAGCACCTGGGGATTTCCTTAATAATCAGTAAGGAAACTGTACATTAAAATGCCTAATCTGAACTCATGCATGGGTAATACATTTAAGCAAAAGTATCTATGCCTTTCTATGTATTTAAATGTATGCCCAAGATCAGATAAATTCGACATATCTTAATATATAAATAAATTCAAGAGATCTTGCAAGTTCTGTTGCAGAGTTAGAAAAGAAAATAGTTTTCTATTTTAGCTCTATGAATATATAGTTCAGCAAGAGAAATGAGAAATTACACGTTCCCTCTTTAAAAGATTATCTTTTTGAAAATGCCGGAAGAGGGAGCCTCATGCTCAGAAAATCATTTTTCCCTTTTCTGGCAAACTAAATATAAAAGAGGGTAAAAAAATGAATGACATATTCATATGATGATAAAATTAGCTTTTACATGCATCCAATCGTTAAAAATAACAAAACAAAACTATGCAAAATTGCCAAAGAAAATATCATTTAAAAAAGTTTAGCTTTGATCATTTAGAGAAAAGGCGGAAAACACTTCAAGTGCCTTTTCTTGGTAGGTGACACACAAGGAAAATCCTTTTATACAAACTTCCTTTATAAACCTGTTACCTTCAAAATGATCTCAAATGTAAACATACTAGTGAAGACATAATCTGCATACCCTAGGATCTGGAAGGTAAACAAAAAGTTACAAATATTATTGCTAAAGCTGTTTTTTGAGCTAACAAGGATCAATTAACAATTAATTACCTTTAACAGGATTTCAACAGTAAAGATGGCTGTGAAAGCATAGTCAAAGTAACCAAGTATCTGCAAGGTATAATACGTGCCACAAGTAAGAAATCCATCTACAAATAAATATTTACAATTTAGATCACATGCATACAAATACCTAGTTTAACCTAAGAATGCAGCTGGGAAATTGAGATAAATCCATTTAAACTTTCAGCTGCTGTGCAGCTATTTTTGTTTATTTTTAGGTTTATTAGTTTAAGCTTATTAAAAGCCACTTAATTTAGAACTCAGATTTCTACCGTTATCAAATGACAGGACCAAATATACAATATTTTCAATTTTTTTCAACTAATCATTCTCCTCCTGCTTTTGTAGGTATTGTCTTCTGTCTCTAATACCATATAGAAAATCTTTCCCAAAGGGAATCAGCTTATTAATACGCTACTTCTTCATCTCAGCATTGTATCTAAAAATCAGACTTCAGAGCACTTTGTCATTCTTATTACACCATCCCACAAATGTCCATATATATTTTGCTGGCAAGGCAGGCTAAGCTATGACCTGAGGGTCATACAGAAAAACTAACTAAATATGCAAATCATCACAAATCTACTCACGCATTCTCTTTTTCTTCTGGCTTTCGGAAGACATACTGGGTGCCTCTACATGAAACACTTTACTACGCAGTCGCATAGTTTACTAAGCAGTAAGCATGTACGTCTACACGTGCACACGCTTACTGTGCAGTAAACCTTGCTAATTGCAAGTAAATTTGCTACCTGCAAATTTACTTACGATTACTTACTGCGCAGTAGCACTTGTGTATATCTGCTCCCAGTCAACCAGCCACCTGGGGCAGAAGATTGTTCCCCACCACCAGAAGCAGCCTGTTGCCAGGTCGGTCTCTGCCACTGGAGCCTGGGCAGGGACTGTGTCCCCGTACCCTGGCAGCAGGGAGCTCTAAACCCCCTGCTCCGAGATTGCAATTGGGAGCGGGGGTTGGGAGATCCTCATCTCCCAGCCCCAACTTCACCATCATGATCAGGGGGGCTTGGAGATCCTTATCTCTCAGTGCCAGCTCCATGACTGCAGAGTCAGCACTGGGAAATTCTTATCTCCCAGCACCAGCTCCATGGTCACAGGGCTCAGGCTGGGAGATCCTTGTCTCCCAGTACCTGCTCTGCCACTGCAGGGCCAGTGCTGGGAGACCTGTATCCTGCTTCATGATCATGGGGCCAGCACTGGGAGACCCGTATCTCCCCACCTAAGCTCTGTAGCTGTGGGGCTCAGGCCAGGAGATCCTTATCTCCCAGTGCCAGCTCCATGACAGTGGGGCCAGAGCAGGAAGATTTTTATCTCTCAGCCTGAGCTCTGCAGTCGTGGGGCTGAGAGATCTTTATTTTCCAGAACCAGCTCTGTGGCCATGGAGCTCAGGCTGGGACATATTTATTTCCTAGCACGAACTCTGTGACTATGGGGCTGGCACTGGGAGATTCTAATCTCCCAGTGTTGGCCTGTGGTTGTGGAGCTGGCGCTGGGAGTTCTGTGCTGGTGGGGGCTGGGGAGCCTGTTCCCTGCCCAGCTCTGTGATCATGAAGCTGGGTGGGAAACAGGCTGGGAAGCCTCTTTCCTGCTCATCTCCATGATCACAGAGCTGGGTGGGGAACAGACAGAGGAACAGGGCTGAACAGGCAATGGCAAAGCAGGGTCTGGGAACTGTTGCATTCAGGGCAGGTCCTAGCTTCATGCCCCAATCAGGGGATCAAGGCACAGGTCTTGGAAACAGCTGCAGGGTGAGGTAGGTCCCAGCTCCCTGCCCCAATCCACTGGTGGGGCTTCTAGTTGTCCCACTGGTGGATCAGGGCAGAGGGCTGGGTCCTGCCCCTCCCCTTCAGCTCTTTCCAAGTCACCTGCCCCCAGTCAGGGAGCCAGGGTCAGGAGCTCATAATAATTCATGAAGGAAAAAACAGTAGGATCAAAGATGGTGAGCAGAGTCTTTAAAAAGACCTTGGGTATATCCTGGCTTCAGTAGTGTCAATGGGAACTTTGCCATATATCTCAACAGAACCATAATTTCACCCCTTCAAGGCAACAGTACACTTATCTTTAGCACCCACTGGGCATATCTACATGGGACATTTACTACATAGTCAACTAATAAGCTGCACAGTAAATGTCTTGGCATCTACATGTGCACCCCTATTAGGCTGGAGTGATCTAATTTACTCCACAGCAGGACAGTACTTGCCCCAACTAGCTGGGGCACAAGGATGTTTCAGTGCAGGGGCTGCCTCCTGGCTAGCCCCACAATGAAGTACCCTTGTGCCCCAGCCAACCCTTCTGCAGCACAATGAGCTTAGGGGGGTAGCAGCCCTGGACTGGCAGGCTGACCCCTGCCAGCCAGGTTGATCTGATGTGGCTCAACATACTGTGGTCCCAGGTGCACACGCAAACAACAATAAACTCCAGAGTCTATTGCTCTTGAATTTATTGCTTCACATTAACCGCAAGTGTAGACATGCTCTCTGAGGACTAACATGAAATGCAGCATTAAATTTAATTTTAAGGGAATTATCCTACTGTCCACTTGTTCATTTGGCCATATGGTGCTGATGATACAACAGCTAATTGAATGGTAGAGAAAATTATATGATAGACGATGGGGAAAAGGCCACTATGTTAATTTGGACAGAGAAGTATGTATTTTTCATGTTCAGTCAAGGGCCAGATACTTCTGATCCATGTGGTGGCTGAACCCCCCCCCCCCCCCCC